GAGAATCTTAACCAGGCTCCAAGCTCAGGACAGAGCCCAATGTGGGGCTCAGTCCCACAACCCTGGGATCACGACCTGAGCCAAAATCAAGAGTCAGGTGTCAACTGACTGAGCCACCCAGGGGCCCCCAGATTCCTGCTTTTATCTGTATCTATGGTGCTGGACGTTTGAATAGCTGTTGAATACAGCTGCACAGAGGCTATTCAGTATATCTTCAGCAAGGCATTTTCTATAATGTAGCAAGAATGGAGAGGTATTTTCCTTAATATGTAGTTAATATGTAAGAGTGATTGTTCTGGGAACCCTATAAAAATGAAGAGGAGTCATCCTGGGTGGAAACAAACCCGAAAAATCAACAGCCCTGTGAGAATGGCTGGGGAGGAGAACGGGCGGTACAGAGGGACAGGGATTGAGGTCAAGACAGTGTGCTTCTTTTCTGTGTGATGTGAACCTGAGGTCAGAACTGGAGAGAAAGCAAAGGCATCTGTGAGCTACCTGAGTATATGGCTGTCTTCTATTTGAACCATCAGTTAATATACTCTTCCTCTGCCAGAACAGAGTTTCGGTGATGTGCCACGAACCATAGGCTAAGGAGTCTTCCGCAGTAAGGGCTGGTGTTCTTAGGAAGTGGTCCGGCTTCTTCAGTGATTGAGCAATTTCTTCTGGGCATTTAAGATAATGTCATTTTACATCAAAGATAAAACCCAAGAGGTCACTTCTGGGTGTTTACAGAGTAGCAATCTCCTTTCTGTGCATTCTCTTAATTTTGCCAAGAAAATTGATGATGAATGCACCAACTTCTGCAGATTCTATAGATTTGTGCAGAATGTACTCTACAAGAGAAACCTCTTTAGGAATTCACTGTGACTCACAGTGGGAATTATGGGGTACTCTTAGGATTCCCTGAGATTCTTTTTCCCTGATTGAGTTAGGAGCAAAATACTCACTCACTGCTTTATTCTTAGCATAGAGAAAACAGTAATTGCAGATAAATGTGTGGGATATGGGTTGAAAGACAGCACATTCACATGCAATTATTGAAGAGTAGTGAAGGCATCATTGATTCATCCCTCCATCCCACGTTTGTTTACTGGATGCTTGCGAAGCGCCACGCCCCGACAGAGGTGCTGGGAAGGAAGCTAGCCTTCCTCAAAGCAGTCCGAGATCAGACTTCCTCTCACGTGGCCCTGACAGGCCCCAGAGCAGGTGTGGCCCCTCCTCTCCATATTGATTATTATTTTTTTCACTCCCTGTCTCCAGGAGACCGTGCTGGCTTCCCTTTTTGTTTATAACTGTCAGGGATGAATCATCCCTTCACCGTAAGTGTCACAAAATCACATAGCACATCCCAGACTCGCGTGTGCTGCTGCCAGGTTGTCAGGCCGCAGCTCTTTTTGCCCATTTCCTAGCAGCCACGAAGGCCATGAAGGCGCAGCGAGACCGACTGCACGAGGCGGTTCTCCGGGGAGTCGAGGGGCAGGAGCACAGTACTCGGTTCCAATCCACTTTCATTTCGTACAACATCTGGTTAGGAGTGGACGCCTTCTTTCTAGGTGCCACCATATTGGGCAGCACCCACCAGTAGAAAGCCCTGAATCCGTTTTTTAAAAAAAATGAATTTGCAGCTGTGAGCACATAAAGTCAGCCATCTCCTGAGAAGGATTTTGGTTCTGCAAACGGCCTCTGCAGCTTTCGGTTTTCTTGCACATACAAAATGGACATTGAGAAATTTTTTTCTTAATGCGTATTATTTTTGAGAGATAGAGAGACAGAGCACGAGCAGGGGAGGGACAGAGAGAGAGGGAGACACAGAACCTGAAGCAGGCTCCAGGCTCCAAACTGTCAGCGCAGGACACGACATGGGCCTCGAACTCATGAACTGTGAGATCATGACCTGAGCCAACGTTGGACTCTCAACCAACTAAGCTACCCAGGCGCCCCCAAAATGGATTTTAAGTAGACATTGATTTTAGACTTTTAAGAAAAACCTTGAAATAAGCAAGCAAACAAAATTGTTCCTGACAGTTTTCTAAAGAACTCCTACTTTAGGCTTTCTTTTTTTTTTTTCTCTTTTTTTATAGTTTATTTATTTTTGAGACAAAGAGAGGCAGAGTATGAGTGGCGGAGGGGCAGAGAGAGAGGGAGACCCAGAATCTGAAACAGGCTTCAGGCTCTAAGCTGTCAGCACAGAGCCTGATGTGGGGTTCGAACGCACAAACTGTGAGATCTGACCTGAGCTGAAGTCGGATACTTAACCGACTGAGCCACCCAGGCGCCCCTAGGCTTTCTTCTCATAATATTCCTGTGATAAGTCAGATTGACTTAGGTCTTTAAAAATGTATATATTTAAGAAAGGTTTGCAACTTTAAAATAAATATTTTAAAAAACATATTCACCTATAATTCTCCACCTTATTGTAGCTTTTCATTCCTTGGGATTCTCTTCTTGTTGTTTTTAAATTATTATGTATTATATAATGTTGGCATTCAGACAATTATGTGTTCTAGTCTCAGCCTTAAAAGTTCTTACCCACTTTTTGAATATGCCTCATGGAGTGATTCATGCCATCACAGAGTGACTCAGGGTAGTGAAAGGGGGTTTGTTTGGAACAGTGAGATGAGTGTCAGACCATTCTACCAACCAGAAGACATTTCCTGCAATTCCAGGCATAGATGAAACAGCAGATTTCTTTTTGGCCTGAGCTTGGACAGAAACTAGGTGGATTTTTAGTGTTTGCTCAAATCATAGTTGGTGAGATGCTATAAGCACTTTTAGCTTTAGGGAGTTCCCAGGGGCCAGCCAAACACCAGTTCGGTGACCCATCTGTGAATTAAGCTTCCTAGTTATTTACTGGGGAAGATGAGACCTTGTGCTTTTCTGGGGATAGGAGATCTCCCTTTCTCTCTCTCTCCCTCTCTCCCTCTCTCCCTCTCTCCCCCTCACTCCCTCCCCCTCTCTCTCCCTCTCTCTCACACACACACATACAGACTACAAGAGACAATAGGCTAGCATTTTCCAGTTCTTTCGTACTGGAAAGGTCCCAGGTTTTTATCTAAAATTTCTTTCATCAAAAATGCCTGCTGTTCAATAAGGTAAGGAATGAAAACAGAGTATCAGTCTGAAAGAAAATAAACAACTGTGTATCTTTTACATCTCAAATAAAGTAAATTTGCAACATCCGACAAATGTTAAGGACACAAATGAGCAAATTTGTGCTGAATTCTTTTATAACTCTGTAAAATATGCTATAACTCTGTGGAGGCCTGATTTGGAATTGCAGATCCCTGAAGATCTCAGGAGTCGGTGTGCCTGCAGTGGCTATCAAGGCAGGAGTCTCCGGATTGGCCCTTAGGTTCAGGATGCCAGGCAGAGTAGATACCTCCAGAGATAGAAAAGAGCAGCGTATGCAGTGGATGGAAATGCATGCTCCGAAGTGCCTCAGGGTCCTCAGGAAAGAAGTAGAGCACAGGGGCGCCTGAGTAGCTCAGTTGGTTAAGTGTCTGACTCTTGATTTCGACTCAGATCATGATCTCAGGGGTCATGAGTTCGAGCCCTGCATTGGGCTCTCCGCTGACAGCGTGGAGCCTGCTTCAGATTCTCTCTTCCCCCTCGCCCCTCCCCCACTTGCATGCACATATGTGTGCATGCTGTCTCTTTCTCTCAAAATAAAAAAATAAACTTAAAAATAAAAGTAGAACACAAAAACTTTTGGTTAGTAAAGGACCTGTAGAGGTTTGTTTCTAAACCGAAGCTCATTCTTGCAACTCACTTTATCTTTATCTTGGATATATCACTCATGACTGGGTTCAATCATATGGAACAGTCAGTCTGGAAAATGGGCTTGCTTAAACAAGATAGAGGTTAATTTTTTTCCCCTCGTGAAAGAAACCTGAAGCTAGCCTGGTGTGGCAGCTCTGCAGTCATCAGGGACCCAAACCCCCTATTTCTTTTTGCTCCGTCATCCTCAGTGCTGGCTTCTGCCCTCAGGTTTGCTTTAAGGCTGTGGGATGACCTTTGTGCCACAGGCAAGAAGGGTGAGCTCAAAGAGCGCACTTCCTGATAGAGTCAAACCCCCTCTCAGGAGCTTTCCTGGAAGCGCCACCCGCTTATTGACCATCTTGTCTGAGGCTGTTGCCTTCCCAATAACGCAGAGGCTAAATATTGACCTTAGTCTCTGTCCTACCAGGTGATCATGAGAATAAAGGTATTACCAAGACTGAAGTGGCTAAGACTTTGAGATACCTGCAGACTTTTAAGATAGGACAGTAATAATATCTGGCAAGCCTGGTTTTTAGTTTGTTGCTTGATTGATCCAACAGTATTGAGGGCCATGTGTTAGGAACTGGAGTTACTAACTCCAGTTAGTGGTCCCTGCCCTCAAAGGGTTGACAGGCTAATAGGGAAGATGGGTTAAAAAAAATTAATTGTACATGTGTTGAACATTAAGGAAAAGGGAAGTAGAGAGTGCTGGGGATTTTGTTCTAGGAAAGACTGTCTAAGGGCATGACATGAGTACACAGGGAGATGGAAGCCTGCTCGGAAGCTGGCCTGGGAGTTAGCTGGCTTTGAAAGGTTGGGTGAGTGCAATGAACGAGGATTAGAATGGGAAGAATGTTCCAGGCAGCCTCAGTCCTGATCTGACTATTTCCACAGCACTTCTTTCTCCTTGCATTATTTGTCTCACTCCTTCATTGGAGGGCATCAGCAGGTCTTTCCAAACAATGAGGGAAGCCAGGAACTAAATTCTTTTTTCTGAAGTGACTAAAGAGATGGCCATTCTTTCTACTGACTGCTTTCTCTCTCTAGACGAGTGCCTGTGTGCACAGGCTGCACCAGGGAGTGCTGGTAAACCAGGAAGGAGTTGGACTAATGACTGGGGCATACCGAAGTCCCGTTGTGCCCTCATAGATCTGGATTTTGGTCTCAGTGTGGGACTCTGGGGAGGCAAGGATTGGTTCTGACCCTGAAATGCTGATATGACCACCCCCTTCCCCTTCTAGGAAGTGGACATTGTGGTAGCACCGTGCCAAGGCCTCCGGCCTGCAGTGGATGTTCTGGGTGACTTGGTGAACGATTTCTTGCCTGTGATAACCTATGCACTCCACAAGGATGAACTCTCTGAGAGGGATGAGCAAGAGCTTCAGGAAATCCGAAAGTATTTCTCCTTTCCGGTGTTCTTTTTCAAAGTGCCGAAGCTGGGCTCGGAGATCATTTCCTCCTCTCCCGGAAGAATGGAGAATGAAAGGTCACCACTCCATCACCAGCTGATCGACCTGGGCTATCTGAGCAGCAGTCACTGTAACTGCGGGGCTCCTGGCCAAGACACTAAAGCTCAGAGCATGTTGGTGGAACAGAGTGAGAAACTGAGACACTTGAGCACATTTTCTCACCAGGTGCTACAGACTCGCCTGGTGGACGCGGCCAAGGCCCTGAACCTGGTGCATTGCCGCTCCCTCGACATCTTTATTAACCAGGCCTTTGACATGCAGCGGGACCTGCAGATTACTCCCAAACGTCTGGAATATACTCGAAAAAAGGAGAACGAGTTGTATGAATCATTGATGAATATTGCCAACCGAAAGCAGGAGGAAATGAAGGACATGATTGTTGAGACGCTGAACACCATGAAGGAGGAACTTCTGGACGATGCTGCCAACATGGAATTTAAAGGTAGGTCCCAGAGAGCTGGGCGTGGGCTGCTGGGACCAGAGGATTCTTAAACCCTTTGCCGGCCAGAAATTGAGTCCATGAATTCTAGGGGCCAAAGGAAACGCAGGGGGATCTCATCTACCCAACTGTTGATAGCAGGAGCCTACTGTAAATCACTTAGCCCGAGTAGCCTCTCTTGTTCTCAGAGGCTTTCCTGGCAGATTCCACTGTCATTCCTTCCCAGGAACTTCTGGTAAGTTCTTCCTAATAGTGCTCTTTCATCTCCAGTGTGTATCTGTATCCCCTTGACTTTGATGGGGCTGGAGAAGAGATGCTGAATAATGTTAGTAAGCCATGCTTTGACCTTGGCTTTAATGCCTGGCCTGTGCTTCCTTATTGGTTCTTTTTGTGTGTGTTGTGGTCTCATTTTCTTTCCAGGCTGCTCCGCTCACAAGCATTTCCCAAAGTCCTGTTTTCAGCTTTTCTGGAAGTCCCATTCTTCCTGAATGGCTGTTAACAAAATTGGGTGGCAGTGACTAGTCAGGTCATTTGGGGCTGAGGTTTAGATGTGGCTGGCCTTGTATGCTGACCGGTCTGTGGATCTCCCGCAAGAATGTTAGTCCCACCACCGGATCATTAAAGTGAAGTGGTTTGCGGGGCGCCTGGGTGGCTTAGTTGGTTAGGCATCCGGCTTTCGCTTAAGTCATGATCTCGCGGTTCGTGGGTTCGAGCCCCGTGTTGGGCTCTGTGCTGACTGCCAGCTCAGAGCCTGGAGCCTGTTTCAGAGTCTGTGTCTCCCTCTTTCTCTGACCCTCCCCTGCTTACACTGTCTCTCTCTCTGTCTCCTAGAAATAAATAAAAATATTAAAAAAAAAAATAAAGTGAAGTGGTTTGCAAGTTACCCTTTGAGGTCTCCATCCTGGCTGTACATGTGAATCTGCTGGGAGGCTCTTTGGAAATATAAATGTTTGAGACCAGCACAGAGTACTTCAGACCTGTTAGTTAGAATTTCTTTTCTTTCCTTTTTTTTTTTAAGTTTATTTATTTTTGAGAGAGAGAGCAAGCATATGCAAGAGGAGGAGGGTCAGAGAGAGAGGGAGAGACAGAATTCAACAAGCTCCATGCTGTCAGCAGAGTCTGACTCTAGGCTAGAGCCTATGAAGTGCAGGATCATGACCCAAGGTGAGATCAAGAGTTGGATGCTTATCTGACTGAGCCATCCAGGCCCCCCAATCTGAATTTCTAACATGGGAGCTAGTATCAGCTTTCTTTTCTTTGCATCAATGTTATTTGTTTGTTTTCCCAGTCCCTGTGTGGCTTCTGCATATTGCCATCCTCTTGATGAGGGAACTGAGGCTTAGGCAGGTTAAGTAATTTGCTCAAGGTCACACAGCTACTGGAGAGTAAAGGCAGAATTTAAATCTAACAGTCTGATTTCTGAGTCAGTCTCCGTGCTTTCCTGCTTCTTACCCTGTTTCTGGTACTGCCGCCGCCGCCATCGGCCTCATACCAGCTACAGAGGCTCAGCATGGTGTCCAGCTCTCTGCCCTCTGTCGTCCTCATGGGCGGCTGGCTGCCAAGTCCTGACGAGTCTCCTTCCCTGTTTCATATCTACCTTTGCTTCTCTGCGTCCTCTTCTACCTGTTGCTCTCCCTGACACCTTCCTCTCCCGTCTCCAGTGCATCCCTGTTCCGAAAGTTAGTGGCTCCCTGTTCCTACAGACCAAGTTTAGACTCATTAGCCTGATGTGAAAGATCTCCCAAAGCCTAGCCCTGACCAACTTTCCCGAGATGCCCCTTCCTGCAATTTCTATTTCAGTCGGTCTCAACTGCTTGCTGTCCTCCATATGCTTCCTTCACTTTTTCTTTGCTCCTGTTCTGCCTTAAACCCCTCATGTCTTTTATTTGTGAATTTCCAAATCCTGTCTACCCTTCACGGCCTCTTCTAGGTAACATTTTTCATTACGACGTCTACTTTTCTTGGCCAATTGTGATTGCATGCATCGGAACTCCCACAGCATTTCATGCGTATGTGAAATTTCTGGTGTATTTCACTCTTCTTTATTACAATTATTTACGTTCTCCTGACTGTTTTCTAAAATCCTAGAGATGAAGGAGAGTAGGGTCTTGTTTATCATTGGATCTCTTACAGCAGGTAACACAGAGTCCGCGGACAGTACCTCATCAGAGCTTGAGTGAGCGTGTGAATGATGGTATACGGCTGTGTCACACTTACAGACACAAGTGTAAGCACAGGTGCCTTATTTCTTATAGGTCTTCCTAAAGATGAGCACAGATGACTCTTCAGTGAATTCCCACTGTAGAGAGGACTTGCAGTGGAGATGTTGGGAAGGCCTGTGAAATCTTTTGACTGTTATTGTATGCCAGGTACACCGTGTTTGGTGCCTGGGATGCTGTGGTTAGTTCAACAGATGCAGGGGAACTTGGAACAAGTAGATCAGACATCTGGCTCTGTTAGCTACATGATGGATTTGTGAAGCTGCTTTCCTATTTGGCTGTGTATGAGACAAGATGTACATGTCTACTACCTTACCTTGTTCTAAGTTCTTCCTGGAGACCCTTGATGCAATGATAAGTAGACTTAGAAGAGGCCAGAAGATTTACCATATGGCCTAAGGAGCCAGATTTCTGGTACTGTTTTTTTAAATAAAAGTAACACATGTATGCTGGCTATATGACATACACACTTTAGAAAAGACTTCTGGGTGTTTGTTTTTTTTAATTTTCTTAACATTTTTTTAAATTTTATTTTTGAGGGAGAGAGAGAGAGAGAGAGAGAGAGAGAGAGACAGAGCATGAGCAGAGGAGGGGCAGAGAGAGGGAGACACAGAACCTGAAGCTGTCAGGACAGAGCCCGATGTGGGTCTCAAACTTGCGAACCGCGAGATCATGACCTGAGCCCAAGTCCAGCACTTAACCGACTGAGCCACCTAGGCTCCCAGCTTTTGCTTTTCTTTAAAGGTAATATTTTGACTCAGAGGTAAGGATACTGTTCTCCAGCCATCTACTTTTCCTTCATATGTTCCTCTGCCCCTTACGCTTTCACTGAACTCCTATGTTAGAGATCTTTCCAAAAATATACATATGGATTTGTCTTCTTCTAATCGATATACCTGGTTTTATTTAACTATACCCCTACTGGTGGACATTTAGGCTATTTCTTTCTTTTTTCTTTTTTTACTATTACAAACTGTACTGCACTGATCATTATTTACATACATATCTTTTGGACTTGTAAGGGTATAATTCTAGAAAAACAGTTCCTAGAAGCAGAATAGTTAGGTCAAAGGGTATGTGAATGTTTTTGTTGGTTGGTTGGTTAGTTTAACATTTTGATAGATTAAAATAATTTAGTAGATTTTACGAGATTTCCCCCACAGAGGTAGCACGAGTTTAAAGTCCCACAGTGGACACGAGAGTGTTTTTTTAGGAATGGAGTTTTTGCAGGCCATTTCTCTTCTCTTAAGTTCTGTCCTCTGGCTTGCAAAACAGATTTCTGATTCTGGGAGGTAGCAGGATGGTGACAGTGTTCCAGTTGTACTTTTTATTTATCTAGTAATTGATTAGTGCTGAGTCCCCGACTCTCGGGTTTTTCCAGGAGCCAGGCGGTGTGAAAGGTTACAGAGATCCAAGGCTTTGCAGTCCCTGAGCTGTGAGTTCAAATACTAGCTGTGTTACTTCCCAACTGTACTATATCCTTCTGAGTGCCACCTCTGTCCTCTCTTTGAGACGGTCTCCCCATCTATAAAATATGACCAGTAATACCCACCTGACGGGGCGCCTCAGTCGGTTGAGTGCCCGACTTCGGCTCAGGTCACGATCTTGCCATTTGTTGAGTTTCAGCCCCGCATCGGGCTCACTGCTCTCAGCACAGGGCCCACTTCTGATCATCTGTCTCCCTCACTCTCTGTCCTTCCCCCTCTCACACATACTCTCTCTCTCTCTCAAAAATAAATAAAACATTTAAAAAAAATACGCACCTGACAAAGTTATTGTGAGGATTAAATTCAATTGCATATATAAAATACATATTATGGTGCCTGTCAAATAGTCTGCACTCCATAAATGATCCTCCCCTCCTATAAATGTGACATAAAAGCTGACAGAATCAATAGGCTCACTCTAGACACAGTTGCCTTTGCTCAGTATTCTTAGATGCCTGAAGCAGCAGAGGATCGGCTGTCCCCTCATCATCCTGAAGGTGAGAGTTCGTCAGCAGGCCGTGTCTCTTATAGCCATCATGCTGGTAGCTCCTTGGCTTTGTTTGGGAGAGGCCTTTATTCTCAGTGCCTGCCCCTTCCTCTCACAGCCACCTGGCTTCTCTCTCACCTCCATAGATGTCATTGTCCCCGAGAACGGAGAGCCAGTGGGCACCAGAGAAATCAAATGTTGCATCCGCCAGATCCAGGAGCTCATCATCTCCCGGCTTAATCAGGCGGTGGCTAACAAGCTCATCAGCTCGGTGGATTACCTGCGTGAGAGCTTTGTGGGAACCCTGGAACGGTGTCTGCAGAGCCTGGAGAAGTCCCAGGATGTCTCCGTTCACATCACCAGTAATTATCTCAAACAGGTACTCGAAGAATGGTTAGGACACCATGTTGTGGGTAACCCAGGCGGCAGACGCCGTGCGGAAACCCAGCCTCAAGTGAGCCAGGAATTTCCCTTTCGCCCTTTTGCCCATCCACTTTGAATCATATTTAGTTTTTCCATCACATGAGCACCACCTGTCAGAGGTGCTTGTGAACTGCAAGGTTGTGGTTGGGGTGATGAGCAAAGAGGTGAAGAGGGAAGTGAAGGGGCCCAGAGAGCTGCAAAATTGATGATCAGCCAGCACTGGCTCTGCACACATCTCAATGGATATATTTGGGAACCTTGAAACTGGACTCTGTGCTCTAAGTAAATATTATTTATCCCACGTTCTAATCAGCCCCTCTGCTCAGGGCATATTGACTTTTGTCTGTGTTCTCTTTCAGATCTTAAATGCCGCCTATCATGTTGAAGTTACATTTCACTCAGGGTCCTCGGTTACAAGGATGCTGTGGGAGCAAATCAAACAGGTGGGGCTTGCTTAGCGAACAGTCTCTGGCCCTGGTTGGCTCAGAACCATAGGCACCCCCATAGCAGCTGATGTCTAGGATCTTCTGCTGGTGTAGGTGGGGGGCCGTTTGTCCTGACTTGCCTGCCCAGGACGGCTCTGGCCTGGCGTGTTCTGAGATGATTAGGAATGGTGCCGCTTGAACGTGGTGCATTTAAATATTTTATGCAGCCCTAAGACTCTCCTTCACTAGCTTCTTCAGATTCCTTTCTCCCCAACTGAAATGTTCTCTCAGAATCAAGCCAGAGGCCATTTGTGTGGTTTCTTTTCTGGAATTTGATGTGGCTCTTATTCCATACCGAGTCCAGAAAGGGAATTAACGGGCGCCCCCCGCACTGACTATGTGCAGTGAGTGAGGGTTTGTGAGCACGTAGACTGGGCCTCATGTTCTCTGAAGCTTTCCTGAGGCCTGGGCCCTGATGGTGAGGTAGATGGAAGTGGAGAGGAATCTGGGCCTTCACGTGGCTGCTTTCTTACTAGCCTGCTCCTAACGAGTGGGTAGCCCAGAGGGAAAGGGCATTGGCTCCTTCTGGTGGCTCCTGTCCGCACCCCTGAGTGAGCTGACTCTCCTCGTCCCGCAGATCATCCAGCGCATCACATGGGTGAGCCCACCCGCCATCACACTGGAATGGAAGAGGAAGGTGGCCCAGGAGGCCATCGAGAGCCTCAGTGCCTCCAAGCTGGCCAAGAGCATCTGCAGCCAGTTCCGGACCCGACTCAACAGTTCCCACGAGGCTTTTGCGGCCTCCTTGAGGCAGGTGGGTATGTGGGAAGAGAGAGAAGAGCCTTACCTGTGGAGCAATATTTTGCCCGCTGCTCTGTGCATAATTTTTCTGAAATCATCAGCACATCCTCTTCCTTGTGTTAAAGGATAATATCGTGTTATAGGAAGTTTCATCAATGCATTTTTCATGTGGAGATTTTTCTAACTCTTGGGAACATGGAGGGAACTCAGTTCATTTCTCCCTGTTTCACTGACTGAGAAATGAAAAGCAAGGGGTAGGAATTTTATTGATTTAGTATTTTAGAAATGAGTCACAGAGAGGGGTGGGCTTGTAACTTTCATACTGGTTCACAGTGATGTAGCATGTGCTTGTCCCCTCGGAGTGTTTGTGTGTGTGTGTGTGAGCACACACAGGTGTATACGTGTGTGTAGAGGGGAGGGTGTGGAGATTGATTACGTATCCAGGAAGAAAGGTGGTCATTTATCGAGAGCTCACTGTGTGGTAGTGTCGGGGCCACGTTCCACACAGCTTGTGTAACTCTCCGTGGTCCTCAGGAGGTAGATATTATTGTCCCCGTATAATAGGTGAGGAAGCCAAACTAAGGACTTGGTAAGTCATGTGTCGTCTTTCTGTTTCCCTCCCAGCTAGAAGCTGGCCACTCAGGCCGGTTGGAGAAAACAGAAGATCTGTGGCTGAAGGTTCGTAAGGATCACGCCCCCCGCCTGGCTCGCCTTTCTCTGGAAAGCCGTTCTTTACAGGATGTCCTGTTACATCGTGAGTCCTTGTTTTTCCCAAGTAAATTGGAGGAAGTTTCTGGATACCTGGCATTCGCGTGTTCTACCTCTAACGCTGCTCCCTTGCAAAGCTGCCTAAGCACCCACTGATGTGTTTTTGAAACCCTAACATTTCTTTGGCCCTGCTATTTGTATACTCCAGATGACATGACTGGTTTAGCGTCCGACTTTGGCTCAGGTCATGATCTCGTGGTTCATTGGTTTGAGCCCCATGTCGGGCTCTGTGCTGACAGCTCAGAGCCTGGAGCCTGCTTCAGATTCTGTGTCTCCCTCTCTCTCTGCCCTTCCCCCACTCACGCTCTGTCTCTCTCTCTCAAAAATAAATAAATATGAAAAATAAATAAATAAACCAGTTAGGTTACTTTCTACTGGTTTCCAGTACCGTCAGAATTACAACTTCCTACTTTTAGATCCACATCTGAGAATCCTTTTTTTTTTCCTTAAACAAAATATATGTATTTTTTTCATATGCAATCTTTAAGATTTTATTTTATTTTATTAAAAAAAAATTTTTTTTTTTTTTATTTCTGAGAGAGAGATAGCGTGAGCAGGGGAGGGAGAGAGGGAGACACAGAATCTGAAGCAGGCTCCAGGCTCTGAGCTGGCTGTCAACACAGAGCCTGACACGGGGCTCGAACCCACGAACCATGAGATCACGACCTGAGCCGAAGTCGGGCACTCAACCGACTGAGCCACCCAGGCACCCTTAAGATTTTATTTTTAAGTAATCTCTACACCCAGTGTGGGGCTCGAACCCACAACCCCCAAGTGTGAGAGTCACATGCTCCACTGACTGAGCCAACCAGGGACCGCACACATTCAGGAATCTTAGGGAGGTTGGCCAGCAGCCTCCCATTCCTCCTGCCTTATCCCTGTCTCCGTATCTCGTAGGTAAACCTAAACTGGGTCAGGAACTGGGCCGCGGCCAGTATGGTGTGGTGTACCTGTGTGACAACTGGGGAGGACACTTCCCTTGTGCCCTCAAGTCGGTCGTCCCTCCAGATGAGAAGCACTGGAATGACCTGGCTCTGGAGTTTCACTACATGAGGTGGGTTCTCCTGTCATTTATCCCTGTGGGGAAGGATCCAGAGAAGAGGCCAGAAGTCTGATACAGATGTCGTACCAAGAGCTGCAGTGTGCCCGCTGTCTCTATTCCTGTGTCCCAAGATGCCGTAGACAGTATTTCCGGGTTTGGTCCGGTCGTGCTCTCTCCCGGGCCTTCGGTGTCTTTGCTTGTCCCCTCCCCGCCATCCTGATTTCTCACACTCTGCCGTCCGTTTGGCTTATTCCTCAGCCCTTACAGTCTGTCTGTTTTCAGATTCTGTCATTCTTTGTCCTTGCTAGAGGCCATTGTCTTTGCCGCTCCTCCGTACGGAGGGCCATTCCCTCAGGACCTGGACAGAGTGGGGTGTGAGGGTTGCCCCTTCCCGCGTGGCGGCGCCGCAGCCGGAGCGCTGCGCCCCAAGCTCTGGTGCCCCCGCCAGGTCTCTGCCGAAGCACGAGCGTCTGGTGGACCTCCACGGCTCAGTCATCGACTACAGCTACGGCGGCGGCTCCAGCATCGCCGTGCTGCTCATCATGGAGAGGCTGCACCGGGACCTGTACACCGGGCTCAAGGTGAGGGGAGGCCGGGGGGTGGCGAGCGGCGTGCGGCCAGGGCCGCGGGCTCCTGTCTGGCCTGCCATCCTGTTTTGTCTGGCCAGACCTTCTGGCTTTCACAAGACTTTGCTGGACCAGTCAAGCTTGACTACCCTAATCCAGAAACACCTTGCAGATTTTTGAGTCTATTTTTTGGCCCAGTTTTTATCCAGAACACCGCCAGTTCACCACCTTCACCTCTCGTGATGGTGGTACAAACCTGTTCTACGCGGGGGAGCAGAAAACCATCCTTAAATTTTTTTTTTTTTTAATGTTTTATTTATTTCTAGGAGAGAGAGAGAGAGACAGCGTGAGCAGGGGAGGGTCAGAGAGAGAGGGAGTCACAGACTGAAACAGGCTCCAGGCTCTGAGCTGGCAGTCAGCACAGAGCCCGACGCGGGGCTCGAACCCACGAACCGCGAGATCATGACCTAAGCGAAAGTCGGACGCTTAACCGACTAAGCCACCCAGGCGCCCCAACAGCAGAAAACCATCCTATAGCTTTGCTAGTCCTTCTCCCTTTTTTTGCTCTTGATGGGTAAGCCAGTTTTTGTTGTTTCATCAACCAGTATTTATCAGTGCCTCCTTTGTCCAAGAGCCTCTCTTGAGCACCAGAAGGGGATATCAGAAAGTGTAATTGCCAGGGGCCCCCGGCTGGCTCAGTCAGTGGCGCGTGTGACACTTGATCTTGGTGTCAGGGGTTCAAGCCCCACATCAGGTAGAGAGCTCACTTTAAAAAAAAAAAAAAGGTGTAATTGTCACAAACTTCTAAGAGACTTGTAATCAGTGAATACTTCATGAAGATTTGGTGTTTGAGCTGGACAGATACACCCTGATGTGTAAAGTTTGGGCAGGTAGAAGGAAGAGGCCATGCGAGATGCCCAGAGCACTCGAGGGACACTGGTCATGCTGGAGCAGCTGTCTGGGACCGGGGGAGCCTCCTGTGCAGACGTGTTGAGAACAGTATAGAACACCCGAATGAGGAATTGCTATAGAATTCAAATTCCATTCTAGACCCTGGAAAGCTGTTGAGAGACTTTGAGCGAAGGTGAGATACCGTCAGTCGGACACTCAGTTTCCCTTGCCCAAAGCAACAAGGGAAGTAGAGGTGCTTGTTTCTTTGGTCCCTGCACTGGGGCTGAGTGGGGCTGGGGGAGCCTAACCCCGGCGCATCTGGGTAGGTCCCTTCTCACAGAAGCCCCTTATACCAGTTTATGCGGAAGCTTCTGGATGTGAGACGGGACTCCCTAGAAATGATTGTAGGAGCTGTGAAAACTCAATAGGATGGAGAAAATGACTCTCCCAGTGGCCCTCCCTCTTCATTTCAGGGGAGTTGAGCTCAGCACTGTCTGATGCCTTCCCACAAGAGGGCTAGAGAACCGAATCTCAGCTTCCGGATGAGTGATGTCATGTTCTCTGGAATTCAGGAGACCTTAAGTTGGAGGCCTGGTAAAAAAGTAAGATGTGTGACTTTAATATTTGAATCAGTAAAACCAAACCTGGGCTAATAGGGCATACAAAGCAGCGGAAGTCATTCTGCCTGAGAAACCTAGAAATACCTTTTTTTATTAATGTTTTTATTTTCTTATTTAAAAAAATTTTTCAGTCATCTCTATGCCTAACGTGTGGCTCAAACTCATGACCCTGAGATCAACAGTCCCTTGCTCTCTACCGACTGAGCCAGCCACGCCCCCTGAGACCTAGAAGTACCCGGTGTCTGGAGGGCCGTCCCAGAGCTTGCTGGGGGCAGCGGGATGGAAGTGAGCTCATGCCTTTGGTTCTTGGGCCGCTCCTCCCACAGGCCTGTTGGGGGCATCCGGCCGGCCTGAGCGTGGCCTCTGAGGGCTGTTATCTGGCTTCAAAACTCGCCCCTTCCCCACTTTCCCCGCTCTCCCTGCAGCCTCCTTCTAACCGCTCTCCCCTTCCCTTCTTCCCACTCACTCTCTGACCTTGTCCTGTGTGCCCGAGTGCAGGCCGCCTTGCAGTGTCCCGCAGAAGGCGCTCTTAGTTGGTTTAAGCAAGTTGGACTGAGGCGTTGTGTTGTTAGTGACACGTGAGCCCTTTTGTCTCCCCAAGGCCGGGCTGGCGCTGGAGACGCGTCTGCAGATAGCACTAGATGTGGTGGAGGGGATCCGCTTCCTCCATGGCCAGGGGCTTGTCCACCGCGATATCAAGCTAAAAAATGTCCTGGTAAGTAGAGCTGTTTCCCCGAGATAACGCCCTGCCTCTGTGGGCTAAGCGACCTTGGGAGGGTCTGCGTGAATGTGAGTGTGATTGTAGGAAGAGGCTGCCGGAAGAGCAGTGGATTGATGGGGCCTCGGACACAAAGCTTGGGGCGCGGGAAGCCCCATCATGGACCAAGCATACGCTGCTTAAGGCTTTTCCTCCCAGTGCTGCTGAAGACCTTAAACTTGTAGAAAAGAAAAGAGTGGTACAACGACCGTCTATGGTTCACCCAGATTCATGTTCTCTGTCTCCTGGGCTAGTCCCTCTCTGTTCCTCAGTCTCTCGCACACACACGCACACTCTTTGCTCAACCCTATGAAAGCAAGTTGCAGATAATTCATTACTCCTAAGTACTTGAGCTTGTATCTCCTAAAAAGGACCTTCTTCTGGGGAATTAAAATGCTATTATCACCAAAAGGACTCTAACATTGATGGAATCCTGTTAGTTAACATGCAGAGTCTGTAGTAGCATTTTCCAGTTGCCCCAGATATGTTCAGTTACCCGAAAACGGTCATTTGTTCATGTGTTTAGTCCAGGGTTCACTCCAGGGTCATACAGTGCACTTTGCTGTCATGTTTTTTTATCCTCCTTTAATCTGGAATAATTTTTCTGCTCTTTCGTGCTTTTGTGATGATGTTTCCGAGGCTTCTAGGTCTTGTTATTGTTTAGGGCTTGATCACAGGTGCTGGATGAGGGCTGAGATGGGTAAATGCACCTTAAATAAAGATAAGGTGGTCATGAACCCACCTGCTCTGTTATCTCACTTGTGAAGAATCCTCTGACATACTCTTCTTAAAAATGCATTGCATTATCATCGAGGTATGTCTAGCAACAGGTATATAGAGAGGTGACAGCAGTTTGGGGGAAGAGGAGGATCATCCTAAAGTCATAGGCTGAAACCTAAGAGGCTTATCTGTAGTCAAATGAGACATAGATTTATTCTCTCAGGCCTTGAGGAAAGGAAACTGCAGGGAATTCAGGAAACTCTCCTCAACTCACCAGAGGACGTCAGCCGTCTTACTTAGCAACTCTCTGCCCTGGGGTCTGAGGTCAGAGAAGAATAATCAGGGGCGGAAATCCTTTCTCCCGTGTCCTTCACTTATTCATTCTTCCTACACCTACAAAGTTCCTGCTATGTGCCAGGCAGTGCGCTAAGTGCTAGGTACACTGGGACGAAAGAACCAGCCCCTGCCCTCAGGTTGCTTACAGTGTGGGGAGAAGCCAGGAACAGGAACGGGTCTGGAGACAGGGAGGCGGGCAGCAGGATTGACGAAACCCTCCTGGGAGGTGGACGCGTGCTTCTGAGCTCAGGCATGGCTCCTGAGCGCCAGGTGCGGGGTCACACGCAGCTGACTCTTGCCCCGCTTTGTTGACAGCTGGACAAACAGAACCGAGCCAAGATCACGGACTTAGGGTTCTGCAAGCCAGAGGCCATGATGTCAGGCAGCATTGTGGGGACACCGATCCATATGGCCCCTGAACTTTTCACAGGTAAGCTGCAGGGCGGGAGCGGGCCTCAGCAGGGCCCCGTGCTTTAGTGAGTTCCTGCCCTCACTTAGGTAGTATCCACAGGTACTACCGGTGGGTCTGGGGTGGGCAAGGGAGAGCCAGGGGAGGGGACACTTAAAGACAGGTAAGGGGAAAGCGAAGAGGTGAAGGGAAGGGGTGAGGAGGAAAAGTGTAACTAGGAGTCCCCAGGTCTGCTTTTGGACATTTCTCTGGGCCATTCATGCTGTGATTGCTATAATCAACCAGTTAGTTGATCATAAAATACTGATTGAATAACTTCCGTACATCAAGAGTTGGCCCTGGTCATCCACGAACTTGCTGATGACAGAGATCATTAAGAGAGAGAAAATAGTTAGGAAGCAGTATAAGACCGTGTGGCCAGGTGCTGAATCTGGTGTGATGTGATGCATGTGTTCAGACAGGTGGTAAGTGAAGGTTGAAATGTTTGACAGTTTGTGGGAGAAGTGAGATTTGGGGTAGGACCTGAGTCGGGTCCGGAAGAATTGGTATGTGGGAAGGGCACTCCACTAAGCATCTTCTCGGAGTGAGGCAGCATGAGTACGGTTTTTCGTCTGTTTTGTTCCATTTAATCCTCACAAAATCTTTGCTGAAGGTGATGCATTTTTGTGCCCACGTTGCGAGTAAAGTTAAGTGTAGATTGACAAACATCAGAAAGCCACCCCACAACCCTGAGCTAGAGATGATGGAGCTGGGATGTCTGGTCTGGTCTGGTCTGGTCTAGGTCTTTCTGGCTCTAGAATGTAACCTGGTGTCTTGAAGGAGAGAACATTCTGGAGACTGGGAAAAGGGAAACATGAGGAAAATTGCATGACGGGAGACAAATCCCTGTGGGGAATAAGAGCAAACAAGGCTGGAGATGAAATGCACTGAGCTTGAAATCTGCACAGAGGAGGAAAGGCTTGATGTGGAAGAAGGACTGGAACTCGAGCTTTAGGGGCATCTGGGTGGCTCAGTCTGTTAAACGTCTGACTTCAGCTCAGGTCATGACCTCACAGTTTGTGAGTTCGAGCCCCACATAGGTCTCTCTACTGTCAGCGCAAAGCCTGCTTTGGATACTCAGTCTTCCTTTCTCTCTTTCCCTAACCACTTGCTCTCTCTCTCTCAAAAGTGATAAATAAAAAAATTTTTAAAAACTTGAGCTTTTGTGCAGGCGGGGGACGAGGACAGGTTTGTGGAAGTTCCCCTCAGCAGCAGGGGACGGAGGGAGAGGCAGTTTGTGGGGGGAGAACCGAGGCAGGTGGACCAGGGGTCTGGGGCTCCAGGATCGGGCTGGTAGTACCGCCGACACAAAAAAGCTGTGCCAGATTCAAGATCAGTTCACTGGAGGAACAGGTGGGGTTTGGGGGTTAACGTGGTGTCCGTGGTGAACAGCAGAGAATGACCAGATGAGGACTCGAGAGTTTGAGCCTGAGGGATTGGGGGTGGTCGTGTCTGTGCCAAGGAAGATGGGAAGGTCACGACAGGCCCCTGGTCAGCGTGGGGAAGAGTTAAAATGAGCCCTCTGCGCAGCCTGCCCTCATTGGCCTCACATGTAGGTCGGGCCCCGGCCCATCCCTGAGTGATGCACGTGAGCGTGAGGGTGAGCGGGGCCCACGGTGGACCCAGCACGCAGTTGTTTTCTTTCTCTAGATTCACTTCTTGAAATGTTTCCATTCCCTACACTGTTGTTTTCTTTGGGCTGCTTTGTATTTCACTTCTCTTGATCCTCTGCAGTCCACCCTGTTGCTGTCAGAGAGTCTTTGTAAAATACGTTCTTTGTGTCACCTCCTGCCCTAAAACCTAAAGGACTTCATGCTACCCATTGAATCCAGACTTTTGTGTCTTTTAAAAACCTTTATATTCTGGAGTACCTGGGTGGCTCAGTCCATTAAGTTTCCAACTCTTGATTTAGGCCCAGGTCATGATCTCATGAGTTCAAGCCCTATGTTGGGCTCTGCGCTGACAGTGCAGACCCTGCTTAGGATTCTCTCTCTCTCTCTCTCTCTCTCTCTCTCTCTCCCCCCTCCCTCCCCCTTCTCTCTCTCTCTCTCTCTCTCTCTCTCTCTCTCTTTCTCTCAGAAAAACATTAAATAAATGAAAAAAATCTTTATATCCTAGGGGTGCCTGGGTGGCTCAGTTGGCTAAGCATCCTGACTCACTGTTGATTTCAGCTCAGGTGATGATCTCACAGTTCATGAGTTTGAGCCCAGCATTGGGCTCCTGCACTGATAGTGCAGAGCATGCTTGGGATTCTCTCTCTCTGCCCCTCCCTACAACCCCCCTCAAAAATAAATTAATTAATTTAAAAGAATTTAAAAATCTTTACATTCTGGTTCCAATCTACTCACCCATCTGTGTTCCCCAACCTTATTTCCCCAATCCGGCCTTTCGGGAGGCGTCTTCTTGGCTGCTCAGTCAAAATCCAAGGCCTGTCTTTCTTCTCCTTTGTCAGGCTCTGGTCCTGGCCGTCCTGGTGTCCAGCATCGCCCTCCCTGTGCTGTGGTTTTGGGTGGAAGACGGGCCTAGTCAGCGGCCCTGCCCACCGGGGTCACAGTGGGAGGTCATGGATGGTAAAAGCTGTAGGAAAAAAGGCGTGACGCCCTCTGCAGACCGAGTTACAGGGATGCAGCTGATCTCTGGCCCTTTCTTGCCGCAGGGAAGTACGACAACTCCGTCGATGTCTACGCTTTTGGCATCCTCTTCTGGTATATCTGCTCGGGCTCTGTCAAGCTCCCGGAAGCATTTGAGAGGTGCGCCAGCAAAGACCATCTCTGGAACAATGTGCGAAGAGGTAAGAGCCACAAGCCCTACCCTGTCCTGATCAAGAGTAGACTGAGACCAGGCCCTGCAGCGAGGTCCCCCGGTCACCTGCTCCGGCCACTGCCCTGCAGGGCCACATACCGCCAGGGGATCCAGGACAGACACCGAAGTCACACCTTTGCTTTCAGGTAGCATTGCGCTGACCTGTTCCAAGGCTTTATTTTTTCCTTAAAATGTCCAGTTCTTGTACTTCCTGTGCCAGTGCATTCCAGTGTTCTGTTGCCAGTACTGTCAGGATCTAAGCTAGGTGTCAGTAGTAGAAGCCAGGACTCCTGAGCCTCATGGGCCATCAGTCGGCGAGCTGGTGGGGCCTCCTGGTGCCACTGGCCCTGTCACTGACTCTGGTCTTCTTTCCATGCGCCCGTCCCCAGGGGCCCGGCCGGAGCGTCTGCCTGTGTTTGACGAGGAGTGTTGGCAGCTGATGGAGGCCTGCTGGGATGGCGACCCGTCCCAGAGGCCGCTCCTGGGCATTGTGCAGCCCATGCTCCGGGGCATCATGGACCGGCTATGCACGTCCAATTCTGAGCGGCCACACAGAGGACTGGATGATTCTACTTGAAAGCGAAGACCTTTCTCTTTTACTTCCTGTCTCTCTCTGTCCCCTCACCTTTTGGCCGTGGGAAGAATTGGACATTTAATCAGAGAGCTCCCAAGGGAACTGGTGCTCGCTGGGCAGCTTGACACCTTCCCAGGCAGAGACACCTGCCGGGCAGCGAAGAGCTGGCTGGCCGTCGGGCCGCCTTCAGCAGCCTGCTGACACCCCATGCTTCCCCGTCAGCAAAAGATCGTCTAGGACACGTGACCACTGAAGAAGGCAGCGCCAGCCCCGGAACTGACCGGGAGGCAGATGTTACCACTGTCTGCTCACTGGGCGTGGCTGAGATGAGTGGGGCACTGCGGTGGCGATAGTATTAAAAACTAGAATTTCTGTCATTTCGGCTCTAGCTAGGAACATTTGGGTTCTAGCCAGTCGTCAGGACCCCTGGGGAATTTGAACTTAGTTCTGAGATTGTAAGAACATCGGGGCAGAAAAACAACTTCCCACTACCTGCAGCTAGAGATTCTCAAGCCGCAGGCGCCAGAGGCAGAGCTGTCCTGCTGGTGCCAGTGTGTTGACATGTATTGGACCGACTATCCCTGACTTCTGGGGGGGCTTTTCATGCATTATATCCCCAAGAGGCCGTAAAAGGAAAAAAAGAAAGTGTGTGTACGTATATGTGTATATATACACATGCGATTGGATTTTGAGTTACTGGTAATCCCAGGACACAATCTCTTTTGCTTCCTTTCAGTCTTGATTTTTTTTTTCTTTTGATCTCAACACGGGGAAGGTCCAGTTAACATGGTATGTGGGGATTAGTGTCTGTGTAACATAGCTGGTGAGACATGAGAAGGGGCAGTGACCTGGAGGCTGTGAGCCTCCATGTGAACTTACTAGAAGAATCCCACGTTGTTCCTAAAATTTAAAAGAATCAAAAACTCTTGTTTTTGTGTTTGGCTCTAACACACTGATTTTTTTTTTTAGTTTTTTAAAATGTTTTATTTATTTCTGAGAGACAGCATGAGCATGGGAGGGTCAGAGAGAGAGGGAGATACAGAATCTGAAGCAGGCTCCAGGCTCTGAGCTGTCAGCACAGACCCCGACTCGGGGCTTGAACCCATGAGCTGTGAGATCATGTGACCTGAGCCGGAGTTGGACTGACTGAGCCACACTGGCGCCCCTAACACACTGCTGTTTTTAAACTCCAGGTCAATGAGCCTTTTAACCAAGATCTCTTCTGCGACCTGTCCCTTCTTTTTAGCTTATTTTGAATATAATGCAAGAAGAAAAGCACTAGATGAAAGAGAACAATGCTCTTTGTAGCCCCCCCCCCCCGGGGGCTTCCCCTCCCCTGCAGTTGGAGGTGGGGTGGTGGGCTTCTGAAGAGTTCCTCAGGCAGTATACACAGTAAGAGAAATTCCGAAGGGGAATAGTTTAAATATCGGTGCATCTCAGATCTTGACTTCGAGCCTCTCTCAACCAGAATGGTCCATTAGATTTAGAAACCCCGGCGGGTGAAGGAATAGACAGTGGAGGTGAGTAGCCTCTGTCCCATCTGCCTAGTCCCCGAGCGCTGGGGTCTCTCCCCTGTGCCTGGACCCCAGCTCTGGGAAGCAGGATCCTGAGTAGGTGTGTAAGAAAACGGGCAGACTTGCTGCTGGGATTGTGTGGGGTCGTTTCTGAGAGAATGACCCTCTCTTAAACATTAACAGAGTAGAAATGGAATCTACAAGAAATTTTCCATGTAACTTTGGAAGTTCAGTTTTAACTCTGGCTCGATTATGATACATTTGAGCACAGTAACCCTCTGAGCACTTGGAGCCCTGCAGAAGCTCCATACTGTGCTGAAAACCTTTCTCCCTGCGAACGACAAAGTGACAAAGCGGCAGACCCAGTGCCTGTGGGTTCCAGTGAGCACCAGCCTGGTGTTGGTGGACTGATCTCTTAGATTCATTAACACCTATTTATAGCTTTACTTCTTCAAGTCATCACTCTGTTGTGAGTGTTAGTTAACTCATTAACTCATTGTCCTTCTGGGAACAATGGTAGGGCCTCCAGGAAGCCAGATTTCAAGTATAAAAAGGAGAGGTGAGCAGTGTCTCCCTCCTGGAAAAATCAGTCTCCATGTCTGTTCTGTATGACATTTCATAAAGGTCCTATATGCTTCTCTTTTCCAGCCGGTCTTCCTTCCCTCTCGCTGGGGTCAGGAATCCGTGCTTCCATGCTGGAAGGAAGTCTCATTCCTAACATTCTTCCGAAGTCTTAGTTCCTGCCCCCATTCATGCGGGATGATGGGGGTGGGGGTGGGGGCGATTTTCCTCCACCCACTGTCCCTTGTCAGCTCTCAGATACCCTGTTTCCTAGCAGATATGCACTGTTTTGCCTGAGTCAGGATGAAGGAGGATGGGAGGAGAGACCTATGCTAAGTAAGACAGTAGCTGTGTTAACAATTCTTAAAAAAAAAAAAAAAAGTATTCTGAGAAAAGGTGCAAAATATTCCTGAAAATCTCCAGGCCAGCCAACGTCCACATATAGATACGTAGAGGTGTTATTTAAACACTCAGCGGGCTGAGTGCAGGAATGCATATATATAACACATGCATACTTTGCTTTTGTTTTATAACATTGTCTGCTAATTTGGGATTCATTGTTCCTTGGCACCCATTATTACTAAAGTGATGGAATGCCATGAAATGTACTGTATTGTATATTACTTGGGAAGACACTAGGTATTCAAAGTCTGGGGGGGAGGGGCACTTGGGCTGTAGAGGGCTCGGCAAGACCAAAGTCCTGAAGATTTTACCTCCTGGGTTTGGTTGTATGTGCTCCCGAGGGATGAGGTGAGATTGTGGCTGGGGGAGGAGGAAGGATGGCCTGGAAGAATTTCCCTTACCGTGTTCTATCCTTCTCATCAGCTTCATTAGGGTAGTTACCCCAGCCCGAAAATGATCACCTGGCCATTTTTAATGCTCTTGAAGTCCGGTCACTTGTGTTACTTCAGAACTGAGTAAGGGACCTTCTTGCAGAGCAATCAGAAAAATGATGAAGCCCGGGGCCCCAGAGTGGCTGACCCTACACCCAGGGCGCCAGCCGAGAGGTCAGTCTGGAGTGAGTCGAGGAATGCTTGCCTGGGTGAGGTGCCCACAGGCACGCAGCTCATGGGCTGAGCAAGCCTCCCGCTTCTCTGGGAAGGAGGGCAGTGCTGGTTCTTCCCGGACCAAGAGGATCACTTGTGACTCCGTCGGTTTCAAGGGGACAGAACCCAGGCAGCAGCTTCTCCTAATTTTGTAACACTACGGTTCCAGGAAACAGTGAAGGAGAGGATGTTATTACTATGACAGATGGAAACGGGGGAACAGTAGAACTCTCCACCAGTACCCGTCAGCTGTCCAGTGCATTCGGATGCAACTTCACTTGAGCTGCCAAAGAGGGGCCGGAAGTCTTTCCCTGGTGAGAGAAGAGGTTTGGGGTGGCAGGGCTCCAAAGTGTTAACTGCACTGCATGACACTTTATTACTATTATTGTTATTATTATTATTGGCTTATTATTTAGCACTGAGAAGCCAAGAGGGATCAGTGATTACAGTAGCCCTAGGGGAGGAGCGATTCCCTCCGGCCTTGCTCTGGACAGAAGGCATGCCAGGCCTCCCGGCCGGCTCATCACGGAGATCCCAAAGTCCATACTGCTTCTGAGAGAGGTAAATGACCCTCGACGAGTCCTTTGCCAAAAGAGTAGTTGCTTCTTTGAGTTTTCAAAGCTCAGTTTGGGGATTTACTGGATCAAGGAACCCACTTTTTTTTTTTTTTTTTTTAAAGAAAACAACAGAAGTGGATTTCTCCCTCTATCTGTGGGGGGAGTGGTTAGAGCCAGGACTGTGTGAAGTGGGCAAGGAGGGGATAACCTTTAGAGACTTGTACTGCTTCCTCCTTTGGGTGTTGCAAGTAGCACTGCTGTTCTTAAAAGGGTTTTGTGTTTCACTTCATCTGCTCTGCCAACATCCAGTCCGGTTGAGAGGAATGTAGAGACCACGTGAGAAGCTGGCGTTGTCCCCACGGAGGCCACCTGACTTGGAGGGTTGAAAAGAAAATGGGTCTGGGTGGCTTGTTGTCTTTTACCTTTATGTAGTATTTTTGTTTGTTTCAAAAGGACTAATGTCTATTACAGTGTTAAAAGCGTCACGTACTGAGTGTGTCGAATGAAAGTGCAATAACCAGAGGCTGTTACCTTGGCCCAAACCCAGTCCCTCTACTCTCCCTTCCTTGTGCCGCCTTGATCCGTAACACGGCACACAGGACCACGTGTGTTTTTAAGAGACGTGATTTTGGGTTACGTCTTCGTCTAGTGTAATTTTGAGTGGTCGGGGTTGGTTTTATAGAGTATTCTGTACACCTGTTGGGATGCACATGTGCTGTATAATAAAGATCACATTAACGTTTTAGGTTTATAGCTCTTTGGCTTTGTTTTCCTTTCCCTCCCCGGGTTAGGAAGACGCCCCCTAGTCGTTCCATTTCCCCTGGGACCTCAGCAGTCAGAAGCCCTTCAGTGTGCCTTAGAGAGCGATGGGCCATCTTACTGTCTCCCCGTCCCCCCCCATGCTCTGGACTTCTGGGAGCCTGGCATTACCGCTGCCTGAGGGTGGGGCAGACGGATGAGGGGTGGGACAGCAGAGAAATGCAGGCAAAGTCGAGTGATAGCAGTTTACTTTTCAGAGCCTCTTCCTGGATTCACAGCCTTTTCTCCAGCTTCTTTTCAGCCCGAACTTGCAGCACATGGAGCTCAGGCATGGGCCTGGCTACTCTTTATTTCACTGGGAGAGAATGGGATCTATATACTGGTCTATCTGCATTTGGAATATTTGAATTCTTTCTTTTTTTTAAAGATTAAAAAACTTGTTTTAAGTTTATTTATTTGAGAGAGGGAGAGAGGAGAGAGAGTGTGTGGGAGGGGCGGGGGGGGGGGAGAGAGAAATCCCAAGCAGGCTCCACGTTGTCCGTGCACAGACTGACATGGAGCTTGAACTCACAAACTGTGAGATCATGACCCGAGCCGAAACCAAGAGTCAAATGCTCAACTGACTTAGTCCCCCAGGTGCCTGGGAATATTTGAATTTTCTATTTAGGCTCACCCCACTGTTCAGATGCCTGCCGAATAGGCCCCATCATAGGCCCCTAGCAACGGAGTGCCACCATCTGTAGTCACCACAGAATGTTAGACTGCGGGTGTGTTCGGTGGGGTTTGCCTGGGGTTACCGCATGGCACTTGTATGGCTGCATCACTGTTTGCTACAACTGTCTGTGATGTGACAGCAGCATGAGTTTGGCCAGGAGGTGGCAGCACACCTTAAACAGTAGACTCGACTGCGATGTAGTCTGGGGGCAGAGGTGGGGCGGGGGGGGGGGGGGCTGAAGTTCTCAGGCCCACCCTACATGAAGACGTTTCAGCCTCTTTTGCTGAAGAAACTTTCCACTGGCTCCAGCCGCCTTCACAGTAAGTGCCTCCCATCTTACATACACGTACTGTCTTCTCGTATAAAGTCCAGCACGACTCAATTCGTTTCACTTCTCTTGCCATGATTACTCTGCAGAAAACAGCTTGTGTCGTACTCATTTCTAGAGTGGGCGTGGCTTCCCAACAACGCATCCCTCTGCAGGCTTTTCCCTTGAGTAGGGCGACTGGGGGTCCTTGAGGGGCCTGTGTTTGGGTGGGGCTCGGAGCGGAGAGGCCACCAAGTTTTGGAACATTGTTACATTCAATTTCACAATTTCTGCCTTTAGCGGGACCCGAAGGAGTCCCCAAAGTACTAACTGAATAGCCTCCTTTCAAGTGCAGTTATCATGATTGGCTATGTACTGGTTGAGGCCTTCTAGGGCCCTCCTTGGGATGGCCTGTTCCTCACTACACCCCAAAGGTAGCATTTCAAATCAGTGGAAAACCAGACTATTTTATAAAACTGGCTAT